CACTCCTACCGCTAGACCTAGATCAGTGTGATTTGAGAGAAACGATTATTTGGAAAACAGAAACGAACTTTATTGTAACTTTTCGACGCTGGTACAATAGGTCGTCGTCGGACTTAAGGGAAATGTGTAAAGAACGTTGCGCATTTTTAAACATGCCGAAAAATCGATAATGATTCGTCATCCATGGTCAATAGTAGGCTCTGGTGGTTGGCGCTTTTTCAAGGCCTTTTTGGGATTTATGTACATTGAATCAAAATCAACATGATTATTGATGCATGTTTCCCAAAGAACCGTTTCTCTCAAATTATATTTCTTGGGATGCCTATTTTCAAATTTATACTAGATCAGTGTGTTTAGAATGTGCGTCTTAGCGATGTTGCGCAAGTGTTTTGCCTACTGTACTTTAGTTCGCGCGCCGGCAACTTGTACGACCCCCCTCTAACGAACACTGTCGATAGTTAGGCGTGTACTAGGGGAACGGTGGCACTGGGAGATAGGACCATTTAAAGGGCGGAAGGGGGGCAATAACGCATTATGAATGAAAAAAGACTTATTTGCCCATCATCAGCAGTCAAGTGAAATTGTAGTGATGGTCATCCTCATTGAAGATTACGGACCAGCCAGGGTGTTTTTGCGTACTGCTTTTGCGCCTGGTTCCTCCTCCTACCCACTGTCATCTTATTGCAAGTATGAAAACCAACCCTGTCAGGTAACGTGCTAGTTTTCGTCCAGGCAGCCGTAGGTGGCTTTTTATCCAGGCCCATGCCATCGCACGGCGCGTGCACGCCGTTCATTTGCCAACGTGGCGCGTGCGCCCATCATGCACTTTGCTGGCCTGGAGAAAACCTTACCTAGCATTCCTCAGTCTGGAGGTACTGCTACTTCAGCTTTTTAATTTCCTTAGGAATTAATTCCTGTGTTCGGTATAGACCAGTTTATTGAAGGTCTATAGGCGTAGACCGAAATTTGATATGTATATTTGTGCCGAACTCTATCAGCCTCTATGAGATAATCCCATAATATACGCATGCTGCCAACGGGCAGACAGTTGATGTTATAATTTTATCATACTGTCAGCACAGGTACTAGCTAAGGGGCCCAGATATGTGTTTCACCAGTATTCTACCGCTAATTGACACAGCTGCGAAGGGTCCGGCTCACTGATGGGTCCCCCAATTTCCCCCGTTTTCTTTCTGGTTGATATACCTGTTTTGAAAGTTCAGCTTTCTAATTTCCTTAGAAATTAATTCCTGTAAACAGTATAGGACAGTTTATTCAGGGTCTGTGGAAATGAAAAAAACTGAAATTCCAAAACCGATATATCAACCAGAAAGCAAACAAGGAAAGTTGGTAACCCACTGATGAGCCGGACTCCTCGCAGATGTGTCAAGTAAAGCAGAATGCCGGCGAAACACGTATCTGGGTCTCTTAGCTGGTACCTCTGCTATCAGTATGGTAACAACGTTAACAACATAAAGTGGTACTGCTACTATTGCAGGTCTATCACTACCGCCACCAGCACCGTTGTTAATGCTATCGACACTATTACAGTTCGGTCGATACTGGAACAGGTTGAGCTGTGGCTTCTATTTCAAGCCCGCAACACATTTTGCACGTATTTGGGATGCAGTCCCCGTTGTTCTCCTCGTCGTTCTTGTTGGACAATTGATGGTTTCAGTCCGTATTTAATTTTCTTTGCTGGATTTCTTACGAGCAAACTTTGCCTACCTCATCGTCGTGCAGAACTTAACTCCCTACCTAACTTGCCTTTCTTCCAACAGCATGTTATCATGCGGTTGCGGAAACCGTACACCGTCGCCACAATTTGGTCTAGTGGAAAAATATGGTGTACCGGTGCCAGTTCGTGAGTTCCTTTATCTCTTTCCTTTTCTTTCAAAACTATTGCATACAGCGCGTTTTCTGTCCACATTTTTTGACGGTCGCCGAGTTATTTTGCCCTGTAGACAACCAAATAGGGAGATGTGGCCCCTCTGGAAGTCCAACGAGTATAAACTACTTACTCGGGGTTACCGGCCTAATTGGTTCGGAAACGGGTTCCCACAAAAAGCTTCGCTTTTAAACTGAAGCCCAAAGGTGACAAAGTCTGTACGCAGCGTACTCTCATCCCTAATAGACATGATTCGGACTTGCCTCTGGTCATGGTAACCGAAACAAGAGAGAGTGAGGCTGATCCAATGCACTTTTTTCTGACTATGAGGATGTCACTGCAAGTGAAATTGCGAGTTCCAAAAGCATTTAAGAAGGAAACACG